AGTCACTTTAGAAGTACAAACTCGATATATTCACATATGAATGAATCTCTTCAATAGTTCAATTGAATTGTTTTGGTATTTTTAATTTTTTCGCTTCTCAAAGAGTGACTAGTTTTCAACTGATATTCTTGGAAGTATTGTAGTAACTAGTGCTTATGAAAAAATCAATTGTAATTCGTTCTAATTGTTTCTTTTTGCCCAATTTGAACAAAGCCATTTCAGTAGATACAATTTTGCGACCGGTTCATTTGGAAGTGGGAGCTGGTGTACTTGCATGAACAATTTTTTCCTTTTTTCCAAGCTCAGAAATATTTTTTCCCATAAACTGCTTCCCTGCTGATTTGATTCTTGGTACATTGCGACTGGCTAATTCTAAGGTTATAGGTTGTATGAAAAAATTAATAAATTTTTATTTATATTTTTTTTTGTGTGCTTATTTCAAATAAAACTACTTATGACCTCATTGTTTTCTAACTAGTTCGCGACTAGTTTCTTCCGAGGTAGTACCTGTGATGTATAAATAAGTCGCCTTTTATTTTCCTTAGTACATTCTTTTTGACTAATTCAAAATTGCTAACTATAAAAAATGATTCTCAATCAGTGTGATGATAACTAGTTTCCAACTAGTTACCCATAAAATAAAAGGCACAAATCCAGAAAACGGCCGAGGCTAAGTCAAGCTTAATTTGTTACTAGAATATGAATTCTCTAGTTTATCACTAAAATTGTACCTTGAATAGCTTTTGCAAGTGACCTTTGTTGGAAAATGAATGAAATGGTTAATATAATTTCGATTGGTAAACCTAAATAATTTATTATTTTCCATTAAAAGGCTGAACACGAAGATTTCTTATGGTGAAGTCTTAGATTGGTAAGCCTAAATAATTTATTATTTTCCATTAAAAGGCTGAACACGAAGATTTCTTATGGTGAAGTCTTAGATTGGTAAGCCTAAATAATTTATTATTTTCCATTAAAAGGCTGAACACGAAGATTTCTTACTTTGATGAGTGCACTCCTGATGAAAGTTATTTTTTTTAAAGTAACTGTTAACTAAAACTTAAGTGAATTTTTTAATTTTTCTTAATTTGTTATTTCTTTATTTTAAACTAACTAGTATTGAACTACTTCTCAACTAGTCACTTTGAAAGTAGGGTAACTAGTTCATTTTGGTTTACATTTTCAAAAACTGAACAGTAGAAAATTTTTTTAAATCTTCGCTCTGTATTTTTTAACTCACTACACCATTAAGTAGTTATCTTCACTGCTCAGTACTGCAGCGCCTGGACTCATTCTAGAGCACTGTCATTTATAGCTACAAAATGACGAATGATTTTAATAGATGAGTGCATGTGTCAAGTGCTTGTCAACTTGGAAGCGCAAGTAAACATCATCTATAAGTGTTTCTATGTATGTATGTATGTATGTACTTAGAAGTATGTCTAAATGAATGCGTGCTAAAAGGAATATAATAAAGAAGAAAATGTAGTTGACACACGCAATTTGGTGCCGCAAAACGAGTTCAAGCCAACTTAATGCTTATTATAGCACCATGCAGCAGCAGTTAAACTAGGCTCTTCACCGTACGTTGACGGAAGTCGTTACTGCGTGGCTGTGCTGCGTGATTAGCTGCCATAATCATCGTCAACGCCACAGAATGGATCATTTTGTGTGTGAGCATGAAATCAAATTTGTCACTTGTCTGTCACTTAGAGAGCGTCAGAGGGAGAGACAGAGAGATATAAAGAGAGAGGAGGTGCCGGAGAGAGCGGAAGAGAGTTCAAGGAGTTAGTTAGTGTCAGTAGATGGATTTGAAGTATGACTTAATTTTGCCAATTGATGCACACGTGTCTAACATGTGGCAGGAGATGGATGGAAGATAAGAAATTAAGATATACGAAATGAGTTAATTTTCTTTTATCGAGCTTTGGTAGCGTGAAAGCTGCTATTGAATCGAAAAATACAAATGATTAATCACGAAAACTCTTCACAAGTATAACTTAATCAAATCAAGCGTGAGCCGCACTATGCCCAGCTCAACTGCTTTGCTTTCTCAGCTAGCGGAGGCACTGCTATGCGCTATTGATGCTTTAGCTCAGCAGACAATGTGACGACGAATTGAAGCTACAACTAAATTATTGTATTATTTTTTTTCAACTCAAAGTCTGTACATGATTTGTCATTGTGTGGAGACGGAAGTGTGATCCGTTGCGTTGCATTGTGCGGCTGTTTCGAGTGTTGTGTTAATAAGCTAATCCAGGAAAAAAAATAAAAAAGAGAGTGAAGAGAGATAGAGAGGGGCTACGATAGCGAGACCAATAAATGCTGCAGCTTATTTGCTTTAATAAATGCATGGCATACATAATTGCTATGAATGATTTATTGACGGCTAGCGCTGATGGGGCAAGTGAGAGGAGAGAGAGCAGAAATATGGGTTGAGTCACAGTAAGGTTGGGGCAATTGAGAGGAGAGAGAGCTTTTAAAGTCGAGTTTTCTTTGTTCAATATTTATATTACGTGTGCTCCTCTCTGTGTCTACAGAGTTGCATTTTTTTCAGCAATAAGTTGCATGATACGCACTTTCAATCCACTGAAGATTCTTCTGCGCCTATCACAACATGTTCGCCTTGTTAGAAATCTTCAATTCGGTAATAATGCAAGTAGTTGGAAAGAATCTCTCGTACTGTAATCTGATTAAGGCCACCGGCGAAATGAAGCTGGTTCTGTTTAGTCCGTAAAGCTTCGAGATGGGAGGTTGAATACTCCATCAGTTATCGTAGCCATCCTAAGAGCTCACCCTGGCACTAAAAACGGTTTTAATATCTAGCGGAGTACGTTGTCATCTTATCTTGCATTTTCTTCTAACGGGATAAACGATAGTAATCTCTGTTACCATAACTCTTATAGCCTCTCCTGCATATCCAACACCATATTTGATTTCTTTTTTATATTATTATTGTAATAGATAGGCTCAGGATCTAGGTAACTACATTCTTGTACCGTTTAATATATCTCCTTGGTGATAATGATGCCACTGTTATATTTTTCAACAACAAAAAGCAGCTGTGCGAACTGAGCGAAGAGCTGGTCTTACCAGATATATGTCATCGAATCGTAGTCCTAAGTAGAGGATGGTTTTTTGGAAAGTTTTTTCATGCCGAAACCCGGAACTTGTAGATATCATAGTGATTCCGTGTATTCATTAAAGCTAAGCAGTTCCTCGCTACCATCTATCCTCAAGATTTATGGAGACACCAGTTGATTGTTCGACAGCGGACACAGCAAACCGAACGGCGCTAACTATTGAGGCCTAGCTGTATACCACAGCAACTGGCCGCTCTGAACAAAGATTGCACCTTCCCTTTTTAGCTCTGTAGTTCGTAATGCTCCAGCATTAGATTGAAGAAGCCAAGCGACTAGGAGCCACCTTTGTCGGTGTCGAACAATACGGTAATCTTCTCTCTATTTTTTGCCGAGATACCAAATTCAGATATAGCGGCATGTTGTCAGTTCTTTTCCGTACGATCAAAGGTGATTTTTAAAATCGAAAGAAGGTTGTGTGCGTAGATCTCTCAGTCCTCAAGAGTCTTTTGCTAGACTGAGCAATCACAACGCTAACACAGAGAACGATAGACATAGAGGAGGCAGGTGCAACGATAATTAGTGCAGATGGTGAGGGTCCAGTGGGTAATTACTAGTTTGACTTCATCTACACCTTTTTCCATCTCCATTTGAGGTTTGGGTTCGCTACTGCTGGTGTTCTGGATTCATTGCATTATTATAGCAAGTTACGGTGATGCTTCTTCTATTAACTAAGTGTACTCTGGACATTCGTCGCCAGTTCATCTCATTTGGTACTAAACTTTGGTCTTAAGATCTTATGAAATCCGTCGCACTTTTTTCATATAGCTTTCGAGGATTACCACTGTGGGCCAGTTTTGAAGTATCTCGTATTTCAGACTCTCTTTGCAGCCTGCAAATGTGTTTCGGTACTCTCTTCAATTCTTCATATCTCTCCCACACAGCAGGCAATGCAAACGGTAGACGCATTGCGAGGCAGGTGGTAATCTTCTCTCCACAGCGGCACAGGTTTGCTTTCGGACTTGTGGATAACCAATTATTTCATTGGCAGCTGCACGTAAGCTGCATCGTACCACAATATCTTTATACCGACTTGCTAATGAGTGCTCAATGAGAGCGGTAGAAGAAGGAACCTATAAAACAAGCTGGTTGTGTGTCGATTTTTCAACTTTTCGGGCTTTCTTTGCTGTTAAAAGTATGGGAAGTATTTTTTCTGCTATAAAATAGTAGTGCACATCGTTGTTAGGACCGTGGGGTATACGTTCAACTAAAACTTCAAGGACACATCGCCCATCTATCACAATATGTTCGATTTGGTTGCGATGTGAAGACAGCCAAATTAGCTCGCTGAACTTACTTTCCTGGAATCTACTACCACAAACAACATATTTCGTGAAAAGTCGATTGCCTTCCGCTCGTTTGTGGATGTTTTGTAAGGAAAGTTGAATTTCCCATCATTGGGGCTTGAAAACCGTCAATGACAGTGTTAAGATGGAAGCAGAAGCCGCGCTAATAAGTACGTGCCAGGCTTTAAGCAGGGTCACTTTATTCTACAATTGCGCCGGAGTGCCGGCACAGATCACGGTGATCAACTTGATTGTGAATATACTTTCATACACCGGCATGGGCAGCTAGAGGTTTGACAAATTCTGCAGGTGACCCACAGTTTTGTAGTAATTTTATAGAAAACCCGTTGGCGGTCACTTAGACTAATTAAAACACTATTTGCTATTATTATTTTTATCACACACAAACTGCTTCATCATCGGCCGACAATTTTTTTGCGCTGTCATTAAGCAAATAACAGTGCACTGATACCAGTTCGGTTAAACAACAACTCATTTTGAGCGCACACAACACCGATCAGCATTATTTGCAAGTTTTCATGGTGAGCAATGTCACTTAATTACAGAGAGATAAACAAAATAAATAAAAACAAAGTCAAAACACGACAACAATAACATTGTACTTTGCAGCGCGTCCGCTGCGCTGGCTGCGCATATTAATTCCAATAAAAACAAAGACTCGTTACGAAGCGTGCTCAGTGTCGACCGGTCCCCGACGTCTCCACGCGCCCGCGTCAACTATTAACTGCTCGTTGCCGTCGCTAACGCTGATTTACGTTCGTTCGAGCTCATCAACTTACTCAATCGCCACAACAGCTGTTTTACGTTAGTTTGTATTGAAACGTACATATGATCGCGCGCTTTCTTCTAACGCTTGATTTGTGCGACGCGCTAGTGAAGTGAATAAAGGTGCAAAAATAAAACGCAAAAGCAAAATAGAAGCAGAAACTATTGGAAAAGTGTTTTTGGTTACATAAAGATATTGAAATTGTTTTAACAAAAACAATAAAAATGTCATTCCTGACACTTTGGATACCACTGTATCTGCTGATCGCCATTGGAACGCTGTTCTTTGTATGGTGGCGCAAGAACTGCAGCTATTGGGCGGTGCGCGGTGTTGTCTCTGATGCACCCGCGCTGTTCTACGGTAATCTGCGCAACGTGGGACGTACGCAGACCATACGTGATCCCTTTTATAATTTCTATATGAAATACAAACATGTTGCGCCATTTGGTGGCTTCTTCTTGTCGATGCGCAAGGCGGCAGTGATATTCGATCTCGATCTCATTAGAAGTGTACTCGTTAAGGACTTTGCAAACTTCAGCAGTCGCGGTGCCTACTATAATGAGAAAGATGATCCCATCTCTGGACATGTCTTCAATTTGGATGGCGCCAGTTGGCGTAATATGCGTGCAAAGCTTACGCCTACCTTTACCTCGGCGAAAATGAAGTATATGTTTCCCACAATAGTCGGTGTGGCGCAGGAGTTTGTCAAGGTGTTGGGTCAGGAGGCCGCTTTGGTCGCTAAGAGTGATGCCGCTAAGCAAGGTATTGAAATACGCGACCTGTTGGCGCGTTTCACCACCGATGTTATAGGCAGTTGTGCTTTTGGACTCGAGTGTAATAGTCTACATGAACCGAATACCGAATTTCGTGTGATGGGCAAGAAAATATTCACGCAACGTCGTCACGGTCGTCTAATCTTCGCGTTTGCCCAAGCTTATCCTGATCTCGCGCGCAAGCTGCACATTAAATTGGCACCTGAGGATGTTAGTCAGTTCTTTCGCAAAGTTGTGCATGACACAATTGCCTACAGAGAGCAGACGGGCGTACAGCGTAATGATTTTCTCAATCTGTTGCTGGAGTTGAAGAAGCAAGAGAATGGTTTGACTTTGGATCAAATTGCCGCACAGTCGTTCGTTTTCTTTATTGCCGGTTTTGAGACGAGTTCGAGCACAATGAGCTTTGCGCTCTACGAACTGGCGCTCAATCAGGATATGCAAACGAAGGCACGCACGGAAATTGAGACTGTTCTGGCGCGTCACAATGGCGAGTTCACGTACGAATGCATGCGTGACATGCAATATTTGTATCAAATCTTTTGTGGTGAGTATACAAGCAGCACTGCGATATTATGTAGGCAATAATAAACACAGCCTCTATTTATTTTCAGAAACCCTGCGTAAATACTCGATTGCCTCGGTAACTATGCGTAAAACCCTCAATGACTATCAAGTGCCGAACACAAAGTTTGTTATTGAGAAGGGCATCATTATAGTCATACCCGTCGATGCCATACATCGTGATCCCGAAATCTATCCCGAACCGGAACGCTTCGACCCCACACGTTTCGAGCCTGAGGCGGTCGCTAAGCGTCATCCCATGACTTGGCTGCCATTTGGCGAGGGTCCACGCAATTGCATAGGTCTGCGCTTTGGTAAAATGCAAGCCATGGTCGGTTTGGCTCTGCTGCTGAAAAACTACAAATTCACGTTGGCTCCACAAACCAAAGTACCGCTCGAAATGAAATTGGAAAGTTTTGTTTTGAATAGCAAAGATGGCATACATTTGATTGTAGAGCCGGTTGAGAGCTCGTAGGGCAGTGAGCTGGTTGTTGGATTTGCTTTGGTTGTATTTTTGGTATTCACAAATTTTACATAATTTAAAATAAAACACAAATCTATTAACAAATTTATTTTCTGCTCTTTCTAATTTGCTTTTGGAGTGGCCTTCGTATGAGAGTTGTGCAAAACAGCTCTGAATATGGATGAGATGGGTGGAAAGTGGATGGGAGAGGCGTAAAATTGGTTCAATGGAGCCAAATCTTTGGAGAAAGATTGACTGAGGTAAAGGGAAACTTAGTAAGCAACAGCTCCGAGAAGGAGGTGGGCGTTATTCGAAATATTAACTAGACGAAGTTGGCAAATGTGGACGCCATTGCTCAACCTGGATTGAATTGACACCTTTATTTTCCACACTTTACAACAAGAAATACTCCGCCATATTACCATTCAACTCAGACTACCTCTACAACATTAAAACTACCGACATGGAGCTTTTTGTTCAGCTTTTTTGCACCTCAGTAAATTATGACGGATGCGAACTAGGCAGAGATTTTCTGATGAGAGTTTATGATGAGCCGGTTTTAAGAAATACAGTAACTAGACCTTTATTATGTCATTATGACAAGAATCCCATGAGTCTCCACGAGCTATTCATTCGAAATAGACGTCGCCTCGACAGTTACGTTATTTCTAGGTAGAGAGAGGGAGTTGAACTCTTCGGATGACTTCTGAAGCGAACAATTGAGAAGATCTTCGGAAACACACTAAATAGAAAAGAACCGAGGCGGAGGGAGGTAAGGACAGCGAGAGAGAGGCGTGGAAAAGGTGAGGGAACAGAGTGTATGAAGCAGCCTGTCCAATTTGATATCTATTTCACAACGATGTAGCTGAGAATCCAAAAATTATACCAAAAAAGTGTATGTACTCCTCACGCGGCGTTCCTCGCTTACACAAGACCCGAAGCATTTGAATCCAATTTTGAATTTGCATGCGTTTCCTTCTTCATCTTCATCTTTAAATTATGCACCACACCCCTACAGTCCTGTGCGGAGAGAACAACTTAACCAGCACACTGCAAGGCGGTAAATGACGGAAGTACGCATGCAATGACCAAACAGATTTCGGACCATACACACAACAGTAGCAGAATACAACGGCAACACCAATGAATACAGCAGCCGGGGAGGAGGGGCAGACACTAGTCTTCCAAAGAATGAGAATGCAACGGGGCGTTCATTGGAATACTAAACAGAAGACGACTGCTGAAAGGAGAGCCAAGTAAGGGTGGCAGATGACTAAAGCTTTGCATGAGTTGCACTTTTGACTCGCGCTCCTCCGACTGTTCTCCCTTCCTTCCTGCTAGTGTTGAATGCAACAATTAAACAATTCTGACACAATAGTTAAGCTCACACACACACATGCGCGCACCGACAGAATTGCACTTGAGTACACACTTCTCAGTCACATGCAAGCTTACGGCCGCGTGTGTATGCTTCCATACCTACTACATACAAGTACTTCTGTGGACGGACGAAGTCAGATAGTGGCAACTAAATTAAATATGACTATTCACTGAGTACAGAACATTTGTAAAGTAGATAAGTGTTGAAGCCTATGGAGAGTGGAAAGCGATGGGGGAGGGGCTTGAAGAATAAAAGGGCTTACGGCTAAGAGGGAGTATAAGCTGTGGGTCTCTTGTTTCTTCATCATAGTACATTTCAGTCACATAGTGAATTTAAAGCCATCCACAGCAGTTGGCCCGAATATATCGTAGTAATGTTTGGCTGGCGAATGGCAGCTGCAAGCGCTGAGCTGAAACAAAAACAAGTTGTAATTTTCCGGCATGCAAATGCTCTTGGGTTAAATTATGACATTTGTAGCATATCACACGTTCACTTGTCGTTGGAGCTTGAGATAAGCGCAGCCCAGTTGCTGTTCGCATCTGCTGTAGTCGGAACACATAAAATTTATGCAAATATCTGCTAGTCATAGAAGTGAGCACAGAAGTATGTGCTCAGGACGAGTTCGGAGGGTGCGAAATATTCCTCTTAAAAAGGGTTAGACAATCGCTCCCAAGTGCTTTGACGAGTTCCAGACCTTAGAGGTTGAGATAAAATCAGACACTGCGTTTTTGCACACAGTTTCTAGTAGAACAGTCGGTCTTTTTGGTAGTTCTTTTGGTGCTGCTGTCACATTCGTTTATAAAGAGAACTCATAAGCTCATCAACCATGCAGTTCCTGTTGTCAACGCCGTAATTGCTGATGCCCAAATGGTCACAGATCGATTCAAATGAGAAAGCTGTAGACTCTTTTCTTGTACCATTATGAGTTAACTATATTGGAAAATTGATAACCTTATGCGACCGGACTCACTGAGTCCGAGAGCAATGAAAGAGTTCTTACTACATTTTCACAACAGTTTTATAGTAGGTAACCTTCCTTGAGAGTTTTTTTAACGTTTCCATCATATTTTTATGTCTTCATGACCTGATAAACATTTCATCTTATCCTCTACAGATTTTCTGATCCACCACTGCAGTGTGTGCACCCTTGTTAATGTACTATTGTAGTTACAATTTCCTTTGTTTGCCCCTCGGGTAAAGTGTTTAAACTGAGAACATATACATATATATGTATATACAGTAAGATTATGAAGATTTGGCAATTTATTATGCCTTTGGCACTGATTACTGACTCTGTAGAGCTCTGTAAGTGTGTCAGTTATGCCATTCATCTGTTTGTTCTACTTTCTTACCGACAACAATTAGATTACAAATCTGCTTTTCTATACGTTGCTATTGTTGTTATGCTTAGTTGCTGTAGCCGATAATATGAAATTACAAACATAGATACATTCACAAGTACATATAGACTTAAGTGTTATAAGATATAAAATATACACTCGTAAAACATTTAAATTTGTTTTCTTTCAAAACTCTCAAGTGCCCCAATAAAAACTTAACACTGCTAGTAAATCTAAATAAGTATAAGTAAGGTTATGTATGTGAATTTATCAGGCAAAAACCCAATAAAAAATTATTTCATTTATTCATTCCGTAGAACAGCTTTCTAGACATTTTATATGTTTATCTTATCGCTCCAGTCATACACTTTTAATAACTTAATTATTAGGCAAATTAAGTTAATGAGCAGTACTCAATGTGAACCAAAAAAATTAAATAACATAAAAAAAGAAACAAATACACCAAAATAATCAAAAATTAAAAAAGCGAAAAATATGAACATAGATATACCGAAATTATAAAAAAAAATTAAAAAAAAATAACAATGGAATTAAAAAACAAATTAAGTAATAAAATATAATAATAAGAATTAATATAATTAAGTAAAATAAAATAAAATAAAATAAAATAAAATAAAATAAAATAAAATAAAATAAAATAAAATAAAATAAAATAAAATAAAATAAAATAAAATAAAANATGAAATGAAATGAAATGAAATGAAATGAAATGAAATGAAATGAAATGAAATGAAATGAAATGAAATGAAATGAAATGAAATGAAATGAAATGAAATTAAATTAAATTAAATTAAATTAAATGAAATGAAATGAAATGAAATGAAATGAAATAAAATAAATTAAAATATAATGAAATAGAATAAGATTAATAAAACAAAACAAAGTTAAAAAAAAAATAAAAAATAAAATACAATAATATAAATTCAATAGAAAAACAAATAAAAAAAGTAAATTGAAATAAACTGAAATAAAATAAAGTAAAACAAAAATTTAATATAAAAAAATAAATAAAATCAAATAAAATAAAATAAGAAAACATAAAATAAAATAAGATAAAATATAATAAAAAAATAAAATGCAAAAAAATAATACAAAACAAAATAAAAATAAATAAAAATAAAAAAAGAAAATTAAATTTAATTAAAAAAATAAAATCAAATAAAATAAATTGAAATAAAATAAGATAAAAAAATAAAGTTAAAAAAATATACAAAATAAAATAAAATGATATCAAATTAAATCAAATAAAAAAATAAAATAAACTAAAATAATATAAATGAAAATAAAATAATATAAAACAAAACCAAATGAAATAAAATAAAGTAAAAATAAAGTGAAATATAAAAAATAAATAAAGTAAAATTAAATAGAATTCAAAAATAAAATGATATAAAATAAAATAAGATAATATAAATAAAAAAAATAATTAAAAATAGAAAAATAATTAAATTAAATTACATAAAAGAAAATCAAATAATACAAGACAAATTATGTAAAAAAAAATCAAACAAAATAAGAAAATTAAAATAAAATCAATAGAAATAATATAATATTAAATAATAAAATTAAATTAAACAAAAATCAAACAAAACAAAATTAAATAAAATAAAATAAAATCAAATAAACTAAAATAAATTAAAATAAAGAAAAATAAAATTATATATAATAACATAATATAAAATAAAATTGACATATAACAAAAAAATTAAAATAAAATAACATAAAGTAAAATAAGATACAAAAATATTATAAAATAAAATGAATTAAAATTAAATAAAATTAAATAAATTAAATTTAAATAAAGCAAAAAGCATAAAAATATATAAATTGGAATAAAATAAAATGATATATATTAAAGTAATGTGAAATATATTCTTATTAAAGAAAATAAAATAAAATAAAAAAAGAAAATCAAATGAAGTGTAAAGAAATGAAATGAAATAAAATAAAATAAAATAAAATAAAATGAAATAAAAATAGTTAAAAAAAAATAAATAAAATAAAATTAATTAATAAAATTATATATAAAAAATAAAATATAATCAAATAAAGTAAAAATTAAAAAAAAAATAGATAAATAAAAAATAATGTTAAATAGAATAAAATAAATTAAAATGAAACAAAATTGTATAAAATAAAACATAGACTTTTTTCAATCAAACATTTTAATATGAAAATTAATTTAAGTTAAATAAAAAGAAAATAATGTAAATCAAGATATTGTAAAATGCGTTGATTTAAATTCAATCACATTCAGTTATAAAATTTGTTTATATATTTAATAGAATATACATAGTAGCGCTTTGCATTCGTTGGCATCTATGCACATACATAGATATGCATATGAATGAGCGTTCGCATATATAA